GTAGAAACTGTACCAGTGGGATCAAAGGCTGCGCTAGACCCGACGCATAGTGTACAGATCCCTACCCAACGCATAGGGCACAGATCCCCACCCCTCGCTCGCATGGGGCAGTTGGCAGCGAATGTGGGCCTAGTTGCACCACTCGCTATCTGCCAACATTTTTGAGCGCACCTGGACACCGTGTCTGTCTAGATGCATTCGAAATCTTGGCGGATCCCGAGTGATGCAACTAGGCCCTGTAGCAGGTGAATGTGTGTGGGGGCGGTAGTAGCGGGCCAGGGCACACAAGGGCTACAGATCCAATCCCTACCGAACGCATAGGGTACAGATCCCTACCCATCGCATGGTCGGACAGGATACAGATCCCTACCCGTCACTCAGTCGCATACGATACAGATCCCTACCCATCACATAGCCACATAGTCACATAGGGATTACTGAACGCATAGGGTAGAGATCCCTACCTGTTGCATGGTCGCACAGGATACAGATCCCTACCCATTGCTCAGTCGCATACGATACAGATCCCTCCCATCCCATAGCCACATAGGATACAGATCCCTACCGATCATGTGGTCACATACAATACAGATCACTACCCATCGCATAGCCACATAGGATACAGACCCCTACCCATCACGTAGTCGCATACAATACAGATCCCTCCCCATCACATGGTCACATAAGGTACAGATCCCCACCCCCATCGCATAGTCGCCTCGCATATAGATCCCTACCCATATCATAGCCGCTTAGGAGACAGGTCCCTACCCATCCCATAGGGTACAGAACAGATCCCTACCCATCACACAGCCCCATACAATACAACAGATCCCTACCCATCGCATCGCGAAAGCCACAGCGTACAGATCACAACCCATCAGATGGCCGCACATAAGGTACAGATCTATACACAACGCATAGGACCTCAACGCACTACTACAGATCTATACACAACGCATAGGACCTCAACACACTACTCACCAAATGTGTGAAGTCTATCTTCAGCTAAACGGTGAAAAGATACACCAGCCATGTTTTTCTGTCCCTTAACATTCGACGAACAGGGCCCCGTGAGAGGCCCTTAGTCTCGTAGGGTGCAGATCCCTATACCCAACCCATAACCACAAGGTCTACCTGACAGAAAAACGATCTCGTGTTAATCAACAGAAAATTTAGAGAAAAGGCACTACCTTTAAAGGCCTTCTAGCTAAAAATAGATCAAGTGTCGTTTGACATGTGATCGGTTGTCCATCGGAGTGAAAACCAACCCAAAAAAACAGAAAAGCATATCACTCCGCCGTTACCCCCCGTTACCCCCCGTTACTCGCCGTTGATCTTGATTACTCCCCGTTACCCCCCGTTACTCCCCTTTAATCTCGATTACTCGCCGTTAATCTCGATTACCCCCGTTAGTCCCCGTTACTCGCCGTTAATCTCGATTACTCCACGTTAGTGGCAAACTGCCCAAACACCGACTAATATGAAACCCAATGAATAAATAAAGCACCATCACATGAAACCGAATGAATCAGGACATAGCTGAAACTGACTGCGTTTGCTTACCATTGTTCTCTCGCTCAGCCATAATGAAGTGGGAAGCGAGCATGACATTTACATGACATGCGAGACAAAGCGGAACGAGAGAGAGAGAGAGAGAGAGAGAGAGAGAGAGAGAGAGAGAGAGAGAGAGAGAGAGAGAGAGAGAGAGAGAGGGAACAAGACAAACAGCAAAGGTAAGAGAAAGAGGTTAAAGAAATAGATCAATAAAACCAAACAAGGGAGGAACATCCAGAAGGCAGCAGAGTAGAGGGGATGGCATAATATACAGTCACATGATATCAGCGCGCCAAAGCGAAAAAAACAGAAAGAAAACAAGGAAAACAAAGAAACTTAATTCGTTTTCAATCTTCTTCCTTACAACTCCCCCTGTTCAGAACCTCTTTTGCGTACAAGGCCGCCCACGTGGATGTAGGTCGAGCGGCGGCCAGCCCCACCCCCGTGTGTCATATCGACCCACTTGCACACAGCCAACAGGCAAAGAGGCAAAGAAAAGAGGAAGGGAACAGCCAAATAAAACAGAACAGGGGGCAACAAAACAGATCCCAGATGACAAGTCCCACATGCAAGCACCGGCCGTCCACAGGCCAAACGACGGGACAAAACCAACCAGGATGTCAAAACATTCGTCTGCAAAAAAATCAAAAAGAAGTTAAAGAACCCAGAAAACCGGTATAAAAGACGATCCCGGATGACGATTCCCACATACAAGCACCGCCCCACATTCCAAAAGGCCGAACAACTGGAAACAACCAACGAGGATGCCAAGACAATAAAAAACCCCGGATGACTGATCCCACATGAAGCACCGCCACTTGCTTAGACCGAATAACGGGACAAAACCAACCGGGATGCAGACAATATTGCCACAACAAATCTACCATAACCATAGTAAAAAAAACGGAACCAGAAAATGTGGGATGACAGGACGATGATTCCGGTTGTTTTCGACGCAAATGAATTCCTACGTGCACTGTCAAGAAAGAAAACACAACAAAGTCTTCAACGCCACCGACAGATATGCAATTGAAAAACACAATAAGCTCCGATCCAGTGTGACAAAATCTGCTAATACCACAACAATACATCCAAAGGCAAAACCAGAACCCCGATGATTGGTCCCACATACAACAGGACAAAACCATCCGCGAAAACACGAAAGACTGACAATCCCCGATGTCATTTCCTACATATAAGCACCGCCCCTGCACCATAGGCCGAACAACGGGAAACAACCAACCAGGATGCCAAAACAATAACCAAAACAAAATCTGCCATATCCATAGTTAAAAAAACGGAACCATACAGTAGATCCGCAACACGGAGTACCCCAACCACGGGGAAAAATAAGCAGTAAAGAGAGAATCAAAATTATTTTCTACCATAAGCAAAGAAGAGCCTGCTAGTACAGGCCCTACGCTTGCCGCATCATCTGCAAAAGCAGAGAGCTGGCAACGCCGGAGTATATATCGTCACAAGCATATCAGAGCGCAAAAGCGAAAAAAAAGGAAAAAGAAAGAAAGAAGGAAAACAGGAAAAAATGAATTCGCATGATATCAGAGCGCCGAAGCGACAAACGAAAAAAAAACAAAAGGAAACAAAAAAGATATCAATTCATTTTTAATCTTCTTCCTTACAACTCCCCTTGTTCAGAACCTCTTGCGTACAAGTACAAGGCCGCCCACGTGGTACATCGTCATAGAGAACTGCCCCGTGAATCGTAGGCAGATGAGGAGAGGAGGGCGACAGACGAGGGCCTGTGACACTGTTTAGTCGGATTTTCACCGACTCGTCAGGGGGGTGAACCCTTTGTACGACATTCGATTATCAATGTAAACAGTATAAAAAAAGTACACACACACACACACACACACACAGAGGTACGTGTAAACACTCTAACAGAGAACTGCCCAGTGGACCGAACGTAGAAAGAGAGCAGGACCCATATACATATATATTATATATTGTCACATTGTGAATCAGAGCGCAAAAAAGGGGAAAGAAAAAAGGAAAAGGAAAAAAGGGGGAGGGGGAAGATGTAAGGAAAGMTCCACCTGTTCATAACCTCTTACGTACAAGGCCAGCCACGTGGWTGACAGGTTGAGCGCTGGCTGCCCCCATCCCCGTGTGTCACAAGGACCCACTTGCACGCAGCCAAAAGGCAAAGACGTAAAGAAGGGGAGGAGGAAACCAAACCTGACAGGGAAAGAAAGATAGGGAAAGAAAGATAATCCAATTATC